ATTGGGCTTAAGTGGTTCTCTGCTTTTGCTGACTTCGTTGTTTTAGCATGGTCAACCGTTCAGTAGTGCATGGCTGCAAATCTAAAGGTGGTTGGTACAGGCTTTAGGTACAGGATAGTATTTTTACGACCTCATGTATTACCTCAGTGAAACCCGGGTCAATCATACGGGCAGTGGTTCTCGCAACACTTTCAGTCGGTCGGGTATTCGTTTTTTGATCTGTCCTCGTTATGCGTGGTCAATCAACGAAGATAGACCGTCGTCCAACATTGTCCAATTTCTTTCTGCCTCCACCGCCGAACCGATTTAACCAGTTATTTCATGATTAATCATTCGAGCGTGTTGCTTGACGTTGGAGATGCAGCGGATCCTTGCTTTTAACTCTTGACTCAAACGCCTATCTTTGTGGTTATTCACATGGCTTCGTAGAAGACAGATATTTCTCCATTGATCCAGTCGATTATCGAATATGTATACATGGAACATGACCCCTGAGGTACACCTTGCACATTCCCTCCATCGCTCCTGAACTGACCATTGGTTTGTTCTCCTCCACAGACCCTCATTCGGAGTCGCTTATGATGGCGGTGGAACGGTTGGATCAAGCAGTTATTGCATCATCTGCATGGGTAGCTCAGTGGCCAGTAATTAATTATGTTTTAATACGGTTCAAACTGGCCAATGCAAAACTTTTGACTGTTTTCCCGGTCTAACGAGTTCGGCGGTCCACCTGACTTGCAGAGGTGATGACTTGTTGCAGTTCTTTCCCACTCGCCCTCAAGGAGGTGCTCGTTTCACGTAACATTTTGTCTCGCAGAGGTCACGTTCCTAGCCGATCACGAGGGATTCTTCTTGCAACTGCTGGATCTTCCGTTGGAGCTCCATGATGTCTTGTGCAAAGACGATGCGATAGCAGGCGCGTTCGCAAATAACAGGTGCTTTAGCTGGTCTCCATCAATATTGATGCCGTTGTGGTTGCAGTTTGGTCGGCTGAAGGTGATTCCAAGGCTTCAGCGAAGAGCGCTTGTGAAATGCTACCTCATTTGGCCCACTCCGGGAGGGATGCCGATGTGAAATGTTTCGCTGAATAACTTGATATCAGTCGTGCAGCCGGTGTTAAAATCCTGAGACAGATTGACGTGAACAAATTTAATGCCATGTTCTTGAAAGGCGTTTAGCGCAGCTGTCAGTTCCGTCGAATCGAGTGTTTCCTTGTAGTGGATGAAAGCTGCCCTGAGTGACTCTGGGTATTTGCTGAACTCCTCTGCCAGCTGTTAGATGACATGCATATGGTTCAAGGTAGAAACTGAAACGATAATTGGCATGTTCCCAATTTTTGCCACTGCTTCGAATTTTTTCCAAATACAGATGAGAATTGTGCGGGTGAAGTCTTTGTAGATTTGCGACACGAGTGAAACTGGTCGATTGTCCTTGAGGTATTTCGAGCCGTTGTTTTCATGAGAAGAATCCTTCTTGATGCCTTCTACGCTCTGAGCATCTTGCTTTGCTCTATGTATTTCGCAAGACGTTTTGTAAACGCTTTAACAGGATTGTTTCTGCTCCTGAAAATGACAGTAAATGCCATTTGGTTATTTTATAAAGGAATTTTAGAACATTATTAGGATCTTGGTTATTTAAATATTCAGGCAGTATGTGAAAATGAGGAAAATTATTATTCAAAATGAAAATGTCACCCGTATATCATAACTTTCGTGCAGGATTGCGGTAAGGTGAACAGAGAGAAAAGGCATTGGACTCCAGATGATTCAAGTTGATTTCGGCTAAGAATACACTAGCAGGAGAACCCGTCAGGACGCCGCAACGCTGTCTGTACATTACAGTATAAATTTTGAAATAAACATCACAGGTTATTATATCAATTAACTGTACAATGTTTTCTGGCTTCGGGCTACTCAATACAAGATTTGCATTCTTCCACACAGCTCTGCTGCTGGTTGCAACGTCTAAAATCATATCCTGTAAACAGTCGATGACGATGTCATTGTAGAACGCCATGACGTACAAAATGCCATATTTAACGGCCAGGATTATCCGACACGAGAGTACTTTATCCAGTTGCCTATTCAGATTGTAAGTGACACTGTCAACCATTTCAATTATGAGTCTAAGAGGCTCACCAGCACTTTGAAGTTTTACTAGGTCATATGGTTTCACACGCAGGGGGTGTCAACGGTCGAGGTCAAACTGTTTGTAATGTTCTCATAGAGCTTACCTTTCAAAACCAGCCGATGCAAAGCGTTCTTGAACAGAATCCTGATCATTAGAAAAGGCTGGCGTTTTTCCGCTCCTCTTTGTAGATGGCTGCAGATGCTCCTTCACTTTACACCCTCGTTTATCAGACTCTAGTCCTTGATCAGCTGATAGTAAAATTAGGCTTCTTTCCTCGACTTTTTTTAGCGCTCCTCAATTGATCGACCGTTCTTGATTTTGTTCTTAATTATGAGGCAGATTCCGTTCACTATCTCATCTCTGTTCTTATTGCTCATCTCTTTCGCCTGGTGAATACATTATCATTATACGAGACGCTTCTGGCACATTATCCTTTACCATACATAGAAAGTCACCTCATTCAAGGCGTTATCTTCATTCTTCGTCCTAAGCTCCAAAATCTGCCTTCTTAAGTACCTTGAATTTCATTTGTCATAGGGCTTTTAGCTAAAGCACTATGACCCCCCTTCCAGGGGAGAAATCAAACACATTTTATTTACTCTCCTTAAAAATGGATGTGCCAAATATTCAATTAATCTTGTAATTAAACGACCCAAGTTTACTCCCACTTCGTTTTTGATTGTAATCCCCCCATTTCGATACCGTACATATCAGGCATCGGAGGAAATTAGACGATATTTAAGAGTCTACGGTCTGAATGTGTTTTTCTGTTGGATAAAAACCTCATGAAACTTATGAACG